AGCAAGAAAGTTTATTTAACAAGAAGCCTGACCTGACCAGACCTAAACWTTTTTCTAAGACTGAAAACAACTTCAGACAAGAAGTTTTTAAGGGAGAAGAAAAAATTGTGTCTTTTCATTTTCCTGGAAAGAAAAAAATACTCCCTTAATAAATTACAACTTCTATTATCTCATAGTTTGGAGGAACTGAAGGTAACTTTCTGTTCTGGTGTTAGAAATTTGTTTGTTTGTTTAAATAACACACTTGTGGAAGAAAAAAATTCTTTCTGTGTTTAAAATTGCGATTGATAAATATTTTGAATATTTACGGTCAAAAGTCATGGTTGGATTTTATTAAATGTCATATTGCGAAAAGGTTTGTGCTTTTTAATAATTGAATTACATTTATGTATTTTTAATATTATTTGTGTCACTGGATTAAATGTGCTTTAAATTAATCTTAATAACGTTTGATCGATAATATTGTTATAAAACCCTCATGCTCAAGTGCAAAACAAATTACGTCTATTCTTTCCACCCCAGGAAAAGCATTCGTCATCTCGTTTATCGCCCTAACACATTACGAAATAAAGTACCCTCAGTTGTATTCTACCAAAAACTTGGATAAGATTTTTTTTATTGTTGGTTGTTTCATATTTTTAAATTTGTTTAATATTCCTGTGTGAAATGCTGCATGAACAAATGGGGAAAACTAGGAGACATTAGTAGGAAAATAATAAAAATATAATTTTCGGTAATGTTTATTGTGGTAATAATTAAATAAATCTCTGTTGTGGCTTTGTGTTTTCAATGAAATAATAATTACCGTAAAATTTATTTATTTGGTTGGTTAATTTTAAAATACAATATTCGAATTAGGATGTGAAATTTGAAAGTGTGTCGATTGTGTTTCATATCCTATAATATACGCGATTTATAATAATTTTGATACCAAATAAAATTTATATTTATGCAATTTTTGTTCTACAAAGACAGACACAGTGTCATTAACTTATTACTGTTAAATCCCTTGTGTTTTGGGACATTGATTAACGTTTCTAATAAATAATTATGGTTATTTGCTTAATGTTTTCAAAAGCGTTTCTCGTTTTTTCTGATGCTAAACAATAATATTTTGGAATGAAAATGAATTTTTTCATGTTTATTCTCCATATTTCTTCTATCAATCTCTGTTGAAAGTTATCTAGTGATCATAATCAAGTTTTATTGATCGAATGCCAACGATATCAAGAGGAAACATCGACCTCTAACAAAAACAATCCACTTTTCTTAATTGTTTTGATGCGATGTAGACCATGTTCGCGGTCGCGTGTGTTTTCCTCGTCATTTATTTAGACTAATACCTTACACTTTTTAATATTGTTATTAGTAAATATACGAGGTTGATGATTATGTATTATTAGATGTAGTAGATGTAAGTGAAATTCTGCATAGTGAATTACAAGAAAATTATAAAAGCATTATATTTTCTAATTCTAAATATAGTCTATTCTTATCCTTCTGTTCAGTTAAACAGGTTCTGTTTGTAAATACAAACTGTAATTTTCATAATTAATTTTTTTTTAAATAAATGTTTGTGTCTTCCGATTTTTGCTAAATGTTACTTTAAGAATGTTTTCAAATTTTTTGGGGTCGCGCGATTTTTGGGCGCCCTGTATTTTAAATTATGTTACTAGTGTAAAATATAAATCAGATCTATCTTCTAAGACTTTATGAAAAGAAAATTTATGATGATCCATTTGTATCAATACGTAATCAACATTTTTTAAAAGATAAAATATGAAAACTAATAATTTAGAAATACTTTTTGAATATGTTGCAATTAGTGTTGATAAAATTGAATCTTCCTGCAAGCACGTATCTACAGATGGCATTCGTGTGTTCCGTGAATTTTAATTTGCAATAAAATCCACTTGTACTTATCATAAATAATTATTTCTATTAAAGTTTTGTTTATAAAAGTCAAATTAATTTATTATCAATGATGAAAGCATTTAATTTCAGATGTTGTAATAATTATGGTATACATGCCAGGTGAATAAAAAGTATGGAACCAAATGTTTTTTGCTTAAACTATTTATTTTTTGAAAAAACTAATTGATGAGTGATAAACTACTATAAAAATGTGATGATTTAAAAAGAATAACATTTTTCGAAATTTCCTTTTGTTTTTGAGTTATACAAAAAAAAAATATTTTTTTAAATGGCAACCCACTATAAAATCATTTTTCTCATAAAAGCTATACTCTAAGGATTACAACTATCTGCTTTATATTTAATTTTTTCAAAAAAAATATTTCACATATATTGCAATTTTGACAAAAAAAAATCGCATAACTCAAAAACAAAAGAAAATTTCGTTCTGAAAATACGATCACATTTTTTATATTACTTTAATTTATATTAATTATTATTTTCTGGAGGCAAATGATTAAAAATAAAACCGGTTGGTTCCATACTTTATATTCATCCTGTAGATATAGTTATAACGTAACATAGCAAGTAAGATAGTTGTGAAATTTTCTTCGAATCATTTGCATAATGATTAATTTTTTTCAATATTTGTTTGTTAATAGGGACATGTTCTAAAGAATAATGCTTTTTAAGAAGATCAAAATAGTACAAAAAGGGAGAGAAATGCACGATTACTCCTTATTGTATCTTTTCATTTTTCTAGAAAGAAAAAAATACTCCCTTAATAAATTACAACTTCTATTATCTCATAGTTTGGAGGAACTGAAGGTAACTTTCTGTTCTGGTGTTAGAAATTTGTTTGTTTGTTTAAATAACACACTTGTGGAAGACAAAAAAAAATTCTTTCTGTGCTTAAAATTAAAAATAAAATAAAATATGTAAAATAATTACCGATTTTTACTCTGAAAACGAACTAGAATTGAATTAATTGAATCGTTTGATTATTTTTTTAGTCCTTGATATACCGATTTTTACTCTGACAATTGCAATTGAATAATCCGAATATTTTTACAAATTATTTGACATTATTTATGTTTTATTATTTTTTTATGTTATTATTAATTTAGTTTGTGGGGAGGAAAGTTTTGTATGCAACTTTGGAATAAACATCGTTAATCCCATCTATATTCCCGGGATTAATTGGTTGTTTATTCTCTTGATAACAGTTTATAGGAATAGGAAGCATTATTTTGTAGCAACTTTTTCTGTAATATAAGTGTTTTAGTTTTATTTAATTTTTTTTATAAATCATTGAAAAGTTAATTTTACCAACTTATGACGTAAAAAATGTAAAATTGTACTGATTTTATGACTCAGTTTGTGAAATACAAACAAATCACAGATTATTGATACGTAAGTTTTTGATTTGTAAAATTTAATTTGCAAATTAAAAATTTTCTGGTAACAAATGAAGAACTGTATTGAAAGATTTAAATTGTCAAAATTTTGACTATGAAATAGAAACAAACATTTGTTAATAATAATTATTTGTAAAAAAAAGCAAGAAAGTTTATTTAACAAGAAGCCTGACCTGACCAGACCTAAACWTTTTTCTAAGACTGAAAACAACTTCAGACAAGAAGTTTTTAAGGGAGAAGAAAAAATTGTGTCTTTTCATTTTCCTGGAAAGAAAAAAATACTCCCTTAATAAATTACAACTTCTATTATCTCATAGTTTGGAGGAACTGAAGGTAACTTTCTGTTCTGGTGTTAGAAATTTGTTTGTTTGTTTAAATAACACACTTGTGGAAGACAAAAAAAAATTCTTTCTGTGCTTAAAATTAAAAATAAAATAAAATATGTAAAATAATTACCGATTTTTACTCTGAAAACGAACTAGAATTGAATTAATTGAATCGTTTGATTATTTTTTTAGTCCTTGATATACCGATTTTTACTCTGACAATTGCAATTGAATAATCCGAATATTTTTACAAATTATTTGACATTATTTATGTTTTATTATTTTTTTATGTTATTATTAATTTAGTTTGTGGGGAGGAAAGTTTTGTATGCAACTTTGGAATAAACATCGTTAATCCCATCTATATTCCCGGGATTAATTGGTTGTTTATTCTCTTGATAACAGTTTATAGGAATAGGAAGCATTATTTTGTAGCAACTTTTTCTGTAATATAAGTGTTTTAGTTTTATTTAATTTTTTTTATAAATCATTGAAAAGTTAATTTTACCAACTTATGACGTAAAAAATGTAAAATTGTACTGATTTTATGACTCAGTTTGTGAAATACAAACAAATCACAGATTATTGATACGTAAGTTTTTGATTTGTAAAATTTAATTTGCATTATTAAAAATCAAGGTATCTTTTGTTTTCCTTGATGGAGTATTGGCAAATAAGTAAATTAGTTTTAAAATTAATTTTTTGGTTTAGAATTTGTATTCATATTTCAGATACCTACCTGGACTTAGTCGGTGTCACATTCATATTCACCTTTATTTGTAAATTTAGACAATAACAGACAGATTTTTCAGTTTTCATACAAGTTCCATGTTTTAATCCTATCTGGCCGCGTTAATTCAAATTTTCAAAATTTTAAAGAAATTATTAAAATTTAAATGTAGCTTAATCCTCGAAAACTTCACTTAACTAGTAAGGTATTTTAATTACTAAAAATGTCGACTTTAATTAATGAGTAAAGTCATTAAAGTTATGAGTCAACGATGCTGTTGAGCTCAAGTAAAAACTGTACGTGTCTCCGCAGTTCTCATCAGCCATTACATTTAATCTCTTTGCGGTAATAACAAAGCTGTATCATTTCACACCCATGCTAAAATAAGAATAGCTCGGTCGGCATTCTCAAAATTGTGATTTCGTCTGAAGAGTCGGTAATTAGGATGATGAAGTGTGCTAACAAGCGCTTGCTCGCGATCCCTCCCGAACGTCACATCTGATTCCCCCCAAAAGAAGACAGGCGCGAGCGCCCTTCGAACCCGCCAAAGCGTGGATTGGGCCCTCTGCGTCTGGTCTTCCTCCAACTTCCCAGTTCGTCGGCGTACTTCACGAGGGTTCGACGCGTCGCAAGCGCACAAAGAGCGTCGTTGCAGTTCGATGAATGGCAAATACCACGGTGGTGATGTGTTGACAATGCCATTGTGAGTGTTGTTTGCGAGAAAGGGTGGATTGAGAGCCTTTTTTGTTTCATTGTTGCTGCAGGTATTGTTGGATGGTGTCTTTTTTTCTGTATTGTTGCCCGCTGATATCGGAGAAGGTTAAGAATGATACATGAATTTATCATCGGGGTGGCGGTTTATCTTCGACTTCTTTGCCACCATGCGTTCACTGATTTATTTCCAAAGCTTTTTCAAGAAAGCACGGATTAGAATCGGTTCAGCGCACCGAACCAAATCCACAATTAATTTGATAAGATACGATTGCACTTCCCCCAAATTACATCTCTAATTCCCTAGAAAACATTTTTTCTTTAATTTCCAGATCAGGTTTAAATCTGGGTGAATTGACTTGTGTTTGTATTTCTTACATAATGGATTCGCCTCCATTCATAAATAAACTTTTCGCCTGTGGCTTTGTGAAGGTCCATTGGGGCTACCACCATTCAAAAGATATTTTAGTTCATCATCTGATGTGTGCAAGCAGTGCATAAAAATAATGAATGTATTGTAAAGCGCTTTGATAAAAAAACGCGATGTGAAAGGTTATCACAGTCATCACGTAAACAAATGTCAGAGTTTGCAAATTGGAAAGCAACTGAAAAAACGGAAATGTTAGTAAAGTGAGTACACAATTATTTTAATTATGCTATATGGAGTTCAGTTTTCCTTTATAGAAGAAGATAAAATAAATTCCAATCAAGCATATTTTTATTTTACTTTTATGTAGGTAAAGAGTGTCTCTAGTTTTACGGCCGGTGCAAATAAATATTTCAAATTAATTAAAAAAGAATTTTGATAGTGCAAACTGTAGAGGACTAAATGCACTTTAATTTGATGTTTTGATAGCAGTGAGACCTTAAAAATTAAATTTGGAGGAAAAAAATTTCAATTAACTGTAATATTTTCTACATGTTAAAATTCTTTGATTTTTTTCTGTGGTATTTGTGAAAATAGAATAATGATAAAGTTGAAACTTGAATCGATGGGGGTTTGCAGTAATTGGTGACCAGGCTAGAATTTTTTGACAAAAGAAAAAGATCCGCAATGACATTTATGACATACCCATAGAAGCACATCATCCCAAACTTGGCCATAAATTATGTCAAAATGTTAATTACTCAAAATTTATCAACTTTTACATATTCAATTTTCACAGTTACAATTAGAAAAAATCTAGAAATTTTATCATGTAGAAAAGATTCCAATTAATTATATTTTTTGTCCAAATTTGGTTTTTAATGTCTGACTCACATACGCTAAAAATTTGGAACAATATTAAAGCATCGTATTGAAGTCTGTTTAATCTTTTACCGTTTGCACTATCAATTTTTTTTAATGAACTACCACTTAGGATAACCTGTATACATATGTATATATTGTTGGTGTTGCAGATGTGCAACTTATACTTTTCTAATTTCTACTACACAAAATGCAAACATAATTGGGTCATAAAAATGAGAATTAAATTATTACCAAAAATCTGTTCTATTTGTGATTTTATGGAAAACAACGTTTAATTAGGATAATTATTCAGAAGAAATTATATTGCTAAAAAGTATTCTAGAGGCATCTGTCTAGAGGCCCCATCGTCAAGAGTTTTATAGACAGTTCAAAATTCGAGATCTTAGTTGACAAGATTTTTAAATTATAAAACTTGTGTTGGTTCCAAAAAATGTTTCGACACTTATAATGGATTAGAAATTTTATAAAATTCAGAAATTATTAAAAAAAAAATAATGGCAAAATTGACAAAATGCCAAGATCATGCACATATAAAATACGATGTGATTGACGACGTATTTTATAGAAGTATATTAACGGCAACATAAGAAGTAAGCTTAAATACACCATAGAAACAGTATAAGATATTAGTATTGGGAAAAATTAATAAACTAATATATCTTTGAAACGATCAGTTTTAGTGCGTTTTTTATTCGAAATCGATTACTCTACCGATATAAGCAATAAAAAAATAGTGTTAATAGAGAAAATGTGTTTCGGAACTAATGGAACCGGAAATTGGGTACATGTATCCGGTTTTCGTAATTATCAGTTTAAAGATATATTTTTGTAAGTACAGGTGGAGACAAAATAATTTGACCGTCAATGTTACTTGAGTGACATTAAATTGTAAAGCATGCTTTAGGACTGTTAACCTTATTTTTAGCTACCGTCACTCATAGTTGACAAGTTGTATGTACCTACATATTTGTGATAGGAAAATATAATAGCTGTCATTAATTTAAAATTGTCATTCATTTTAACGTTAAAGCTTGAATTACATTAAAGTGTCAGAAAAGTGCCGACCAAAGTATTTTGTCTCCAACTGTACCTGTTCCAAATTTTATAATATCCGGTCAAATGGTTTTAAAGTGTAATGAAAAACCAAATTTCCATAACCAAGTTCTTAGGACTGAAAAATTTTTATCAGTAGAGATAGGACTTGATCTACTATTTAAATTAACATCATTTTATAGGCCAATTTCGAAGTTCCAATATTGCTTCCGATTTATGATTGTATAGTAACCGGTTTTGAAGAACTTATTTAGCAGAAATTTGTGGTAAAATGTGCAGAATAAATTACATAACATTTAATGAAATGACAATTAAAAAATGCATTTTATCCGCAAACGTAAGAAAAATTACACACTTATGACAAAATGACCCAGGTAAAAGTTTTATTTTTTAGTCATGGAGTAAAAACACTGTTTTTACGCCTAGGCGTTTTCACTTTTACTTGACATTTCTCTTTCTTGTCTCTTTCGCTGCTTCAGCATTTTCTGGAGAGGTACAAGGTAGATTATCAGCATTCGACATTTTGCACTATAAACTTCACTAGTTATTCACCAGTTAAATCAATCAACATTTACGAAAATCTCAACGCAAATTCTGAAACTGACGTTATTATTTTATTGTAAAGCGTCCTGATTATTGAGGTGATTTACTTGATTATTGGTGTGTTGTTCTTTTCTCTCTATTTGAATCGTTTGCGGATAAAATAGTATATTTTATTTGGAATAAAATTGAGTTTATGTGGCTCAGCTGAATCCACACATAAACAATCTCTTTTACTCCTAATAACATAATCTACTATTTTGAATTATTCTTTTATTGATGCTAAGAAAAAATGATTTTCAAATAAATTAAAATAAAATAAATAAAATTAAATAAAAATAAAAATTAAATAAAAGTATATAATTTTTTTAGTTAAAAGATACAGGGTGATATTAATAGTTGTGTCAGGATTTTTTTTTAATACGAGGACACTTTTTTGTGGTTTTTGCTATTTTTGACCTATTTTTTAAACAATATAATAGATTTTGAATAATTAACCCCAGAGATCATATTTGTTTACAATTTTTGTTGGTGAAAACCTTTTATATTTCATTTGGATAGGGCAAATTTCGTTATTTTCGAATATTGTATCCTCTCTAGAAGAAAAGCAAAAATAATGATTGTTAATAAAAAATAGTTTTTGTTTTTTTACGTGTTTTTTGAGATGGTTTGATTCAGATTTTAATACAAAACGAAAATATCTCGAATTGATCAAAATTTACTCGTAGGCAGGCGATGATTTTATAGTTTTAAAACTGTCAAAACGAATAGTTTTTGTGACACTAATTACACTTTTCCTATTGCCCTTTTGTCACTTTTCACAATGTTTTTTTCGGAGATTTTTGGCTCTAAATTTGTCAGTAGGGTTTAATTACAACCCAGATTATTTTTTTATAGGAATTAAATGTTTGTGTTCCAGTTTGTAAGAGTAACACTTGCTCAAGTTGTCTAATTGATTATAATCTAATTTCACCAATTTAAAGTAATTAAACTCATTGTTTACACAGTGTCACCACTTATAATACATCAGAAAATTAAAACACGTTTTATTTTTCTTAGTGAGGAGAGTAAAAAAATAATATTTTGTGGTTAGTGGCCAAATGCTCACTGAAATCTTTGTTTTAATAAAATTCAAGTAAAACTGCTCCTTTTTTGTTGTTTTGAGAGTTTCAAAACATGGTGTGTGGTAAAGACTCGTGTTGCGCCAACTCTTTGTAATATGCTTTTCCTAACGATCTTTTGATATGTAAGTGCATTGTAGCAGTAAAAGGACTCACAATAGGAAAAATAAAATCAACAGTTTACATATAGAGGTTCCAGTTGCAACAGACTGTACAAAGGATAATAGCTTTTCTACCACTGCTACATCTGTTCAACTTTACAGCTTACAAATTGAAGTAAGGATTTCAAGTAAATAATGCAACGCTAGTTCATGCCTAGGTGCGTTTTCACAATTCTAGAACAGATCATTTTGTTGGGTTTATTCTAATGGAATTTGCTGTAAAAGAACTCAATGTGGTGAAATACCAATTTTTAACAGAACAAAGCGAAAATGTATGTCAGCTTATAAAAATGCGCATGCATTACATTTAAAGAAAATTTGTTTGGATGCTATTCTTGAATTTTAAAATTCTTATAAGGTGAACCTACATGATCTGGATAAGAAAATTTATCTTTAGAAAGTTTTTTTACTACATTTTTGTTAATTTTAATAGTCACGATCACTACAACAAATGCTGATTTCTAACTTTTTATAGGTAGGAAAATACGTCATTCCATTTCTTGGTTGGGAAGTGATTTATGTGTTATTGCCAACGTTATGAATCTACTAAATGGCAAAAATGCAATTAACTTTGTTAAAATGTGTTTATGAATAAAATAGCATAAAAATCTTAGTGGGAATTTTACGATATTTGTCAGCTATACAGGGTGTTCGTTTTTCGAGCTTCACCATGGGGATCTCAGTTATTATAAGAGAATCGAGGTCGGCTAAATTAGGGCAAAGTTGCGCATTTTTATGCTGAACAATTATCTGAAAGAAAATTTAATGTCATTTTTAGTTTTGGAATTATTGGGAAAAAAAACGGAAATTTGTAATTTTTGTTTTTATTTTTTCAAGCAAAAACTAAAAGACCTAGTTGTTTTTAACTAAAACGGTCTTAAGGCACTTTTTTGCAAAGAATCTAAATCTGTCATCGTATTTTCCAAGGCGCTCTTGATATGAGAATTACAACACTCAACTTTGGACTTTCTTATGAAGGCCATATCTGATTTCTGTATTTTTGAAAAGTCTTTTTGTTCCTGATTACAACGAATTTTACATGCTAATCAAAATTTAAAAAAAGTGTTTTTTTGAGAGTGCTTCGGAAAAAACACCAACGATTTTAATTAACAAACTAAATTTTAAAACAGTGCATTCGAACTTCTTTTACAACTTTGTGTTCTTTTGTTTTGCAAAGAATAAATTCTAGTTTATCACGTTGTTCCTATTTCAAAACCTTTGTTTTTAAGTAGGTAAGTTTGATGGAAATGTGACTTCCACATCCAAATTCAATTAAACTGTCAAAATTTAGTTTGTTAATTAAAATTGGGGGATTTTTTTCCAAAGCACTCTTTGAAAAAACGCTTTTTTTTAATTTTGATCAGCATGTAAAATTTGATCAGATTGTGTTATCAGACGATCGTTGTAATCAGGAACTTTTCAAAAATACAAAAATCAAATATAGCGTCCATAAGAAAATCCAAAGTTGAGTGTTGTAACTCTGATATCAAGAGCGCCTTGGAAAATACGATGACAGATTTAGATTCCTTGTAAAAAAGGGCCTTAAGAACATCCTAGTTAAAAACGTCTAGGTCTTTAAGTTTTCGCTTGAAAAAATAAAAACAAAAATTACAAATATCCGTTTTTTTCAATAATTCAAAAACTAAAAATGACATATTAAATTTTCTTTCAGATTATTGTTCAGCATAAAAATACGCAACTTTGTCCTAATTTAACAGACCTCGTGTCTCTTATAATAACTGAGATCCTCATGGTGGAGCTCGAAAAACAAACACCCTGTATAGCTGACTAATATAGTTAAATTCCCACCAAGATTTTTATGCTACTTTATTCACAAACACATTTTATTAGAAAAAAAATGAATGAATATTTCTCACCTATATTGTAATATGCGACTTAGAAAACATATAGTTTTTTTAATAAAATTTTTGTATGTCATAGAAAGTTCTATTTCAAAATAAGCGATTTAGATATTGTAAATATAAGGTGAACATTTTACGATGCATAAAAGTAAGCTCTGAAAATTAAGGTAATAAAATTGAAAACTAGATATTAAAACGACTGAGAAATTTTTTATGTACTTTTTATGGAAAAATCTATATTTTTGTCTAGTATTACATATAGTCGTTTTCAACACTGTATTAGCTTTATTAGAGGAATTTAAGTACTTATTATTTGTTTTAATAAATTGTTTGTGAATAAATAGTATAGAAATCTCGGTGGGAATTTTATTACACTGTCGATTTATAACTGACATCGATTCTGCGCCTTAGTCTTCGGAGGAATGAATATTTCTCAGCTAGATTATAATATACTATTGTTTAGTATTTAAAAAACATTTAGTTTTTTATGAAACTTTTGTATGTCATAGAATATACTATTTCAAAATAAGCGATCCATGTAACGATGCATAAAAATAAGCTCTGAGAATTAAAACTGAAAAGTAGATATTAAAACGATTGACAGATCTTTTTTAATGTACTTTTAATGGAAAAATCAATATTCTTGTCTAGAATCACACGTAGTCGCAATATATGACGTTGCCAGTATGCCAGTTGAAATGTTTTAGAAATTTCAGTTGCAAGCAAATTAAATTTTTTTCAAATACCAAACATTTTTATTGTTTTGTGAAGATGAGAAATTTTATGTAAATAAACCCACAACAGTATTTAGGTCAATATTTTGTCTATTTATTTCACAACATAAATCGCTTATTTACATTTTTGCATTTTAAACAAAACAAAATTTTATAAATATTTAATTATATTACAAATTCGATTTGACGCATAATTTTGGGTATAATAGATTTGTTTTGGTTGTGATGATAATGCTGTAGTGCTCCTAGAATAGGATTTTATAATGGGTCATTAATACCAACCAAAATTCTCGAAAACAGTAATTTAGCGTGTTCTCTGCTCGTCTATGGTTGTTCTGCCTCCTGTTACATTAGATTTAAACAGTTTGAGTGGGATATTTTGATTTATTGTTTGGGTTGATACATTTATGGTGTAACATTCCTATCCGGATTCGATTAAAGTGGGCAACAGAGCTGCTGTTATGTGTTGAAAAAAATTAGCTATGAATGGTTTCAATCATCAACAAGAGGTTTAATTGGAAATTTCAACAGGTCGCGATGTAATTTGGTGAAGTTGTTACTGTGCCATTGGGATGTTGTATTGTGGATGTGCACTCGAATAACCACCGTTACAAACCGACATGGTACTTATGACGACATGAGATCTCATCTGTTTGGGACACTGCCATGGATAAAGCTTATGTTGCTGCTTCTCGTTTCTTCGGCCACAGGTAAGTCCAAAAATTTTTGTTAGATTATTTTCTGCTAAAATTTCAAAACGGAATTGGAACAAAACTAGCGTAAACGGGTTTTATGGTGGGATTTAGCATAATAATTTTAAGCTTGAAAGATTCTTTCATCAATTTAATTTAGGTAACAAAGAACTTTTGCAAACGTCAAGTAGTCAAGTGCTCGTAGCATAGAAATCGTGTTAATGTGAACAGTAAAGGAAAGTGTTTTGTGAAACAAAATGTGAAAATTTTATTTTAATGTTGAATGAGCGATGTATGTGAAATAAAATCGTGAATGTAAATGTGTTATTTCTACTGTCTACAGGGTGTGCCAGAACTCGCTCCCCAGGGAAAATTCTATGTAATGTAAGATACCAGGAATACGGAAAAAAATGCTAAAAAAAATTATCTATAAAAATTACGAAGTTATGAGAGTTTAAATTTTGCACTTTGACTCTATTTATTTCTGTTGGAATTTTTTTTTTTTACAGATGAATGTTCTAAACATTTTTTCCGTGTTTCTGGTATCATACTTAAAATGTTTCTTTGGGTCGTAAGTTCTGACACACCATGTACTCGTACATGTTTATGAATTATCCTAAAAAAAAGGCTTATTCACACAACTACTAATTTTCTTCCATACTTTATTTTACTTCTGTAATTTTTAGAATTTGAAGACATAATAGTCCTATTAATGCGCTCTTTTAAATGCGGAAATGAGTTATTTAAGTGCCTAGGGTAATTTTTAAAACAATGTTGGTAGCGGTGTCAGTGACCAGTAAATGTCAAAATAAAAACTACAAACATTTTTGATTTTTTCGTTACTTCTAACATATAAATGTGGTAATACTGCGTAAATTGATGAAAATATTTGGGATTTTTACATTTTTCAGTCACAACAACAAAATAAAACAAACTTAACAAACATATGTTGTAGTAAACTTTGACACAATTTATTTGGTGATAAATTTACTACTTTGGGAACATAGTTAATATTTCGAATATAATTATTTGTTTAATTTGGTTTCAAACTGATATAAAATTATCATAAAAATAAGGCTTATTAACACACGAAAAAAGAATGCAAAAAATTTTAATAAAAATCTAAATAAGAGTACTCTATTATGTGTATACAACTAAATGTATTTTTGTTTAGTTTGTTACAGTACAACCTCGATTATCCGAACTACCCTATTATCCAAATCTCCAATAATCCGAACCACATACTTGTTCCAATAAAACGAACATAAACCAAATTCATGATTTCAGTAATTCGAACTTTTCAATAAAAAATCGTTATATCGTTTCAGGAGTATAACACATGTCATAATTCTGCTTTTTGTAATTTTTTTTGTTTTTTTTTATATGTGCGTATTTTATAAGAATAAACATTTTTTTAACAAAATAAAATAGAAATTCGATAATCTAAATGTCAAATTCCAACAAACTATGCTGCATAATTAATTCGGATTATCGAGGTTGTACTGTAGTGATTTGAGTGACACTACAGATAACACTAGGCGACATTTCAATTTTTTTAACATTGATAAAAATATCTGTATCCTATGTCATTTTGTTCAGAAAATTTAAAAATGGTCACCAAAATTTTCCATCACGTTTTTTTGTAATTTTTGTTTTCATTTTTAATGAGTGGTCGAAGTAATCACTCATATTCATGGTATAGACTGACTTAAAAAAATGTATTTAACCCTTTATAATTTTAAATTACACAAAATTAATCATTAGATAATAAATTGAACACAAATTGAACAAAGAAAAATTTTCAAAAATTTCGTCTTTTATGAGGAGTAAAGTCTTCCTTTCTTCCTTTTGCAGAAACCTGCAGAAGTCCACTATCATTGTCGAATCTCATACATATCTTGATACCTTTTTTTCATGGCACTGATATCTTGATGATTTTTTTTTATCACTTACAGTTTTGTTGAAAGAAATGGAATTGGAAAATGCACTTCGGCAGCCAAGTGTTTTAAAATTTTTCAATAGTTTTTAGCTAAATATAGAATAATTTTCATGTTTGTTATTGCCAGGAAATCTGTGGACTTCACTCTTAAAAGAATTTCAAGCAATTGCATAATTATTTAATTTTTGCAAAAAATTTTTTATTGTGGATCTTTCAGATTTGAGGCCCTACGAAAATTTTTCCTCGGATTTTTCTATTACTTAGTTTAGGGCAATTTTGTCTTAGACACATCAAGGATTCATTTTATTACTTGCTTAAAAGAAAAATGAATTGATTTGCGATTAGAAATCAGTAGTAAAGGATGCAATTTCAATTTATTTCCCATAATAATGCCTTAGGTTAATGTTTATCGAAAACAATATTAATTAAAAATGTCATCATCATAAATACAAGAGGTATGTTTACCTTCAAAATGTTATTGAGAATCATTTATCATTTTTAATTTAAAATTTGAAATCATTAGTAACAGTATTTTATTATCGTTTGTTGGTCTTTGTTATAATTTATAAAAATAAATAAAAATTAATGGAAACGTCCAAATGTTAACTGCCTTCAATATTGCCATTGTAGAGAATCGTTTATCAATTCTAAATCAATTTCGAGTCGTTTGTCATGTCCCGAACTTATAATATGCAGGTTATTTGTCATTTTGGCACTAATATCGTTTCTCACAAGTGCGTTACTACCGATATTTTACAATAACTGAAAATTATGTTAGCAAAATATACAATTTTAAAGGGGAAACAACTCAATGTGGTGTACTTAGTTGAGTAAACTTTAACTCTAAAATTTCGTTGTTTTCGAATGCTGAAAAAAGTTCATTTTAATTTATATTCAAACGAATTTAAATGCAAAGTTTAGATAAGTTTAGGCTCCAACGGGACTTTCCCTGAAATTTATTTAACTGGTTTCGGCACGAAAAAGCAACATCTTATTTTCTCTTTTTTACAGCACCACCAAGGTCTATTTAATAATTTTTTTTATTTTGAAATAAATATAATTAGAAAGGAGCTAAAGTCTCACTTACTATTCTCTTTTAAAAAGAACACTGTTTTATCTTTTCTTTTTCTGTCTTGCAAGTTTTCTCCACGTTGCCCTGCTCACAATGGGTAATAAAACCTACATTTTACGAGAACATGTGAAGTTTCTTTATTGTACTTTCGAAGACATTAACTTTGTCTGAAATCAAGACGTGTTTGAAAAGAGCACCTTTCAAAAGCTAGCTTCAAAGCATCAAGGAAACCAAACTTGTTTAAAAATTCGACGAGTGTTGTATTGCAACAACACGAGATGAGTACAAAACCAACATTTTCTTGAAATGTTCATATGAGCGGAGAAAATTTTCTTCAACCGATTTAAAAGTTATTGCCGATACAAAATCTTGTTGAAAAGGAGGTCAGCTAATAAAAAATAATTTCTCAATAAAAATGCATTAAATTTTTCCAAACTCATATCAGCTAGTGGATGTGTCGGGTGGTGCAATATTTCGCTCCTGTAATTTATTCTTTACGCTACACAGCCCTTACAACACATTCAAATTCTAAGCAATTTACCATGAAAATTATTCTTTGCTGGCGTCTTCTTTGCTTATAGTAAATATAAGGCTGTAAAATGCAGGAATTGGGAAAGATAAGTGTGACAGCCAAGCCGTAACGACTTGTATGAAAGATACTTTTCTTTTTTACGAAATATGTTGAAACGACTACTCGTTTTCTTCCCTACTTTATTTTACTTTTGTAATTTTTAGAATTTGAAGACATAATAGTCCTATTAACGCGCTCTTTAAAATGCGGAAATGAGTAATTCAAGTGCGTAGGGTAATTTTTAAAACAATGTTGGTAGCGGTGTCAGTGACCAGTAAATGTCAAAATAAAGAGCACAAACATTTTTAATTTCTTCATTACTTCTAACATATAAATGGTAATATTGCGTAAATTGATAAAAATATTTATTGACATTTTAATATTTGGGATTTTTAGATTCTTTAGTGACAACAACAAAATAAAACAAACATATGTTGTAGTAAACTTTGACACAATTTATTTGGTGACAAATTTACTATTTGGGAACATAGTTTATGTTTCGAATATAATAGTTTGTTTAATTTGGTTTCAAACTGTTATAAAATTTTGATATATTTGGAGACTCTTGAGGTAAAAAATAATAATTTATATAGTAGCGGTCAATTCATAGTGGCCATGTGTAAATTTGTAAAAATTGAGTTGTGTAAATCCGACTTTAAACATGCAATTGTTTTTTTAGGGACATATCTATAATAAATGACAATTTTAAACTTCACATATAAAATCTATTGCTCCTGTCACAATTGTTGACACAATTTAGTTATTTCTGCTGCCAACATTGTCACAACCCACACACTAGAGGTGACGGGTTAGGGGCTGCCAACTTTGCAATAAATTAAATGGCCACTATGAATTGACCGCGACTTTAAGACTGATTTTTATAATCAAAGAATTTTATTTGATAACAAATATTTATTTCGGTTGCAGGTTATCTTTATTCCTATGATAAAAATTAATTAATACAAGGCGCAGAATTTGAATAAATTTATTATGATGTGAATGGTAAAAACTCCAATGTAGGCTTTATCACAACTTTTATCTTGTTTCTCTTGGTTGTTTATTATGTTTTCTTAAGTTATCGACTTCTTGTACAAATTTTTATACTAATTGCACATCCACCACGCGAGGATTGCGTATTGCGTAAAATAGTTATTTACATGTCAAGGCACTAAAGTCTTATTTTTTATTTCATTACGAATGTATGTTTAGTTTAAAACGCATTTATAATGAAAAATGACTTTAGTGTCGAGATGCATACTAAATTTCTTTCGAAATCGCAAATTTTGTGCAAATTTTTTTTGGAGGTTAGGTTATTATCATGACAGTTCACAATTGACAGTTTACTTCAGTGTTGTCAGATTTCTCGTTTTAATAGTACCATTTCGTTTATAAACCATAGTATACTGTAAATTTTTTTTTTGTAGAACTAAAAACCA